TATTAAATAAGTATATTTTTTTGTTATCAATATTAAAATTTGTATTAAAAATTTGTTAATTTTTTTATTTTTAGTTTTAATTTTCAATAGTTGTAAAATTTATGGAAACTAAAACTAAAAATCTTAAATTACAACTATGTTAAACAAAACCTAAGCTAATATAAAATTTTTTGATGATAAGTTAACATAAAAAATAAAAATATAGTAATCATTTAATGTTATTAAAGGAAAAAAATAAGGTTGAAATCAATTACATAATTAGTAATTAATTATAAACTACGGCAAAAAATTTAATAATTAAAATGAATAAATTTGTTGATAAAATTAAAAAAATTTCATATACTAACAATTTAATGCTAGAAAAACTATTTCAAATGGCATTTTTAACTTGTTAATAATTAGCATCTTTTTATACTAAACTACTTTTTTTTTTAATGAGAAAAACAATGTTCATTGATGATCAAGCAGTATAACAAGGGTATAGTGAAGTACCATGTCACCGCCTCCAAATCTCACCTTCTAGAAGAGCTATTATTACATAGTTCTGTAAAACTAAATGAGTAGTTCAACTTAGCCCTAACCCCAACTCCTATAATCCCCAAAACAAAACGAAAAAACTAAAAATTTAGGGTCAAAACCCTGTTACAACAAGAAAGCTTTATTATAGGAAACAAAACAAAATCAAAACTATTCTCCTAATATTTTGCCCGAAAATATTGGAGATCAAATCCCTATATCACAAATCTTCTCCCCCCCCCCCCCCCCTAAAAACACACTCCGATAGAAGCCACAACCATCAACCGTCCACTGCCTCCAGCCCCCAATCTACCCTTCATCATCGGTGCTTTTTCCTCCTCAAGGGCAACTACCATATCCTAAAATTGCAGCCCTTCTCTTCCACAAGTAGCGATGTCCAATCCCCTTAATACCAAATCCTCCATTGCCAAGAGGTGCAGCTTGCACCCTATAACCTCCCTCAAGTCCACCACTCCCTCCTGGCGAGTTCCCATTTGATTGGCTTTTATGGTTCTTAAAACAGAATAGACCCTAAGCAAAAATACACCAACTCCACTATTGCTAGACCAAAAGAAAAGAAAAAGGAACATATTGAAGGCAGAAACAAACACCGACGCCGCGATGTACTCATGCTCCAAGCAATTGACTCTCAGTAGAGAGAACTAAAATCCCTAACCCTATGGATGCATACTGCCATTGCTAAGGACTCTAACTATTATCCTCTAATTTCAAATTGTTAAATTAAAAATTTTACTAAATAATTATAACTTATTTAGTTTGAGGAAATGAAAGGAAAGGAAGGGAAGTAAGAAAAATTTTCTTATTTAAATAACAAAAAATTGAAGTGGAGGAAGGAGAGGAATTTCCCTTTAATTTTTTTTCTTTTTTAATTTTTAAATCTAACCAAATAAAGGGGAAGGGAAAGCAAGGGGTCTCATTTTCCTTACATGTCCTTCCCTTCCCATCTTCATTTCATTGAAATTAAAAGGAGATTAATCTATAACAATTTAAAAATAAATAAATTTATTAAATATTTATTTTTCAGTGATTTGGATAAACTATTAACCAATCGCCTAAAAAACACAAAGGCCAATCATGCAAAAAAAACCCCCCTGAACTTGACTATCAGTGGCAGATTAGCCCCTAAGCCAAATTCAGAAGCATACCACCCCTTATACTCTTTCACAGTGGCAAATAAGCCCTTGTTTGAAGGTTGACGTCATCGTTCCGTTCCGTCAAATAACTAAAGGTGCTCTTGTTTCACTCTACTGGCTGCTGAGTTGGAAACAACATGGGTCCTTTGTCATCAAACCTATTAATATTAAAACATTTTATGAAACAATAATTTAAAAGTAAGAATTTTGAGTGCTTCTATTCATGCAGAGCCAAAACTTTTTTCTTTTTCTTTTTTTTTTTAATCCACCGCAAATAATTAAAGTATTTTACAAATTTTCATTAAAAAAATTACAACTTGTTTTTGGTATTTCTCTTTATTTATGTGGATTGTGAGGAATAAATTAAATTCAAACTTAATTTTCTATCTTTATTCTACATTTTGTGTCCAGAAATTGTTCTTTATTTTTTTTATTATTTGTTTTTCATTATTTGTCATTCATACTTAATTTTTTTATTTTACTAAATATAGAGTTATAAAGGAGAGGTGAATTTTATGTTGTATATGGGATTTGGAGTTTATCAATGATGATTCACCGTTTGATTTGGATCAAAATTATGTGTTCATTTTTTTTTCTTTGTATTACTTTGGCTCTAGGATTAGACTAACTATAAAAGGAGAAATCATGTATATTTAAGATAAATTAAGTTAAAATTTTTTTGATGATTCTATTGTTAATATACTTAAGTAATAAATATATCTATACATTTTTTAATCTAATTTTTCTTGATAGTTCTACTATTATTGTTTTTTTTTTTTTTTGGCTACCCAACGCCTAGATTGATTAGTCGTTTTAATAGGATTCTTTTTAACAATATTTGAATTAAATAAATAATAAATACTAAAAACTTTAAAAGTTGAATTTATTAATGAATAAG